ACCACACGTACCACGTCTCCAATGACAGCCAGACCGTCGTCGACGACGGGAATCACACCATGGTGAGCGTTTTCGGAAACCACATCGCCCCTGAGAAAGCTTCAATTGGTGCAGGTGCCGCCGACGTCCTGCGACACGAACCAGCCCGCCTCTGCGACCGCCCACGACATGAAAAGCCCAGAGAACGCGTCGGCACGGGCTTGGGTAGCGCAGGGCCGACGGCGCGGACCGGCCGAGTGCCGCCAGGAGCTCGGCCGAGGAGGTTCCGGTTGGTGCCACGCGCCGTCGACGTCCAGCGACGCGAAAGACCCGCGGCGCCGGCCGCCCGTCACCTAGGACGCGCGTCGGGCCGCTCTGCACGGGCTCGGAGGGCGTGTGGCGCGGCCGCCGGGCACCTACGAGCGCCGCAGCGCTCCAAACGGCCGAACGCGCCGCGCGACCGCCACGAGTGCTCCGAGCCCGTGCCGAAACGTCGCGCGCGGGCCTAGGACGGGTACGGCCCGGGAACCAGGACGGGCTCAACACACACAAACTTTCGTTATAATTTCCCTCTCACACCGAACGTCTTGTGCCACTTGGACACCTGGTCGTGCAGCGGGGGGTCGACGTGCGACGCGCGGCAGACGAATGCGCGCCGCGTCTCGTTGCCGCCGTGCTGCAACGCCGTCAAGGGCTGCCAGCCACCGCGGCGGGCTTCGCGTGGCCGCGCCGACGTTTCCCGATTGTTGCAGGGGCTAGTAGCTTCTCGCACGTCTCTCTCCGCAGGGGAGGGGCGTGGTCTACTCAGGTCAGAGGCAGACCCCTCAGACAAGACCCGTGAGATCACGCGTTGGAACAAAAAAAGTGACCCCGTGCCGCGTCCGCGCCGCCCGCGCCATCCGCGCCGTCCGCGCCGCTTCGCGGAAGGGAGATTCGAAGGTACGGGAAGTGCGTCGTGAAGCCGTGCTTTGGCAGCCTGAGCGTCTCGTCCGAGTCACGCACTGGCACTGGCAGGGCCCGGGGACGCACGGCGCGATAAACTGTGGAGAAATAAAGTACAAGGGGAGAGAGGAGGGGCCTAACTAGGGATACTCTCATATTCCCCAACTGGAGAAAACTCTCTAGTGAGAGCAAAAAACCTGTTCGCTCAAGTGTCGACGGGCGGTCGGCGCGACAGGCTTATTGCCGCGGCGCCGCCGGCGCGACAGCTTTCATGGGCGCCTCCGCCCCCCACGCCTCCCCGGGTAGGCTAAGTGTGGTTGTTGTCTCGATTATCCCGGGTTCCCCCGATAGAGATACTCCGGAGTACCTAAGCGCGCCTCGGGGGGCGGCCAGGCGGTGAACTCGCCTCCGTTCGGTTTCTCATATCCGCCCTGACACCATAGCCACGAGGTCTCCAAAGCGACCTACCAAAACCAAACGGCCACAGTGGGCGGGTGGGTGGGGAGGGGGTAGTCCGCTGCGACAAGGTGGCCCGCTCGGAACCTACAGAGATTGTCTGGACGCGACGTTGTCGTGGCTTGGAACAGGCTCGAACCATCCTGTGCGCTCCAGGCGCTGTGTATCCTAAAATGCTCGTTGGGACGATCAAGTCTCATGTATTTTTGTTTTGAGCAACCGATTCTTGGAGCAAGCATCAAGGAAGGTAACGGCCGAGTCGAGTACATCGATCATCTTGATATTGCGCTCACTCTGGCAGTCCTTCTACCGCGTGCACTGGACTATGCCAGCCCAATCATCTGGATAAATTTAAGTTTCAGTTGTTGTTCCTTCTAAAGGTTCTTTACTGGACAAATATTTTGAGTGGGTCTTGCATCGAGCCATTAAGAATGTGCTGAACGTCCATAATCTGGCATCTCGGAGTGCAGCGAGTAGATCCACGGTGTCTATCCCAAAGAAGTCGCGTCGCCGAATCAAGATTGCGCCGAGGAAGAGAGAAAGAGAAACGATCTCTGGAGGTAGTGAGTTTGCCAACATGGTGCGCACATGCGACTGTAAGTTCGTGAAGATCATGGTAATCTAATTGAAAACAGAATGCAAGTTGACCAATGATGTATTGTCCGTCAGATCCAGATGATGTGATGACAAACGGACTTTTAGCATTTGGGACAATCGCCGGAGCCCTAAGTGCATCGTGGGCAGCGTGAAGCCACATTTCCGAGTTGTGTCGAATTAAACTCATCCATCTCCGTCGCATCAGTGGTGGAAATTCATTCATACACCGCGCCATGTACACATCCGCGATTGCACTCACGCAAGCTTGCCCGTCGTAAATTCTGTTATCCGCAGCAAGGACATTACAAACAACATGGTGCATCAAGTGCAGCGTCTGGCAGTTGGCCCCTACAATTTTGAAAATGGGCTGGAATGGCCGCAACAGGATTACCTTCAAAATATCTCACGATTGCAAAAGCGAAGCCATCGTAAATCTGGACTGGCACACCCCATGTCGATAAATGTTTGTACAGGAGACGCTCCGGGGCACCGACCTGCGCAGGAAATGTAGCTGCGTGCAGTGACGGGTCTCAATATTAGCTCGCACATTTGTGAGATGCGGCGGGGGTACCCAAGAGGAAGTGCAATCATAGAAGGAGTCAATAGCACGAAAATAGCTTCTGGCAAGGTGCCGGGGTACTATAGCAAACATATCACCAACTGGCCAAAAGTGACCTGGAAGATAAACGCGATCTTTCCGAAACGAATATAGCGGGGCGATTGTCCCAACCCAGGCGAGATCTGGTCGAACACGTACGATCCAATCGTAAGGTCTCTGCCCCATCGAAGTACGTGTATGTTCAGCGGATTCGATAA